TTTTGGGTTCTGCGCAAAATAAAAGTAATCAAATCTCACACAAGTTGCTTTGACTATAGCCCAGGATCTACTGCCCCCTGCTGGGGAAACACAGGCGTTACAATATCATCGACCACATTCCCTCTGCAGTACTTACATCCCCATAACGTTTATAACTGGAAATCTGCACATCTTAATCCCTTCACTTATTTCATCCACCCCCGATCCCCTCTCCCCGCTGGTAAACACTGGTTTGTTTTCTTATCTATGAGTCTATATTTTAGATTCCACATATAAGTGAAATCATCTATAATAATAAAAGTATAATATGCTAATTAGACCACACGTCCTTCCAAGTGACCCTCCGGACGAAGTTGGGGCTTCAAGGGAAGCCCAGGTCTCCGGTGCCTGCTGGCGGCCAGAGGGAAGCAGGTGCCGGCAGTGGGGGAAGGAAGGCCTACTCTTGCACGAATCTTGTGCATCGGGGCTCTAGTGCATAAACATATTAACAATCGGGGTACAAAGCCCTGGGAATATCTACAGGGGCCCGTACCTCCACGCTAATGTGCTTTCAGAATGAATGACTGTCTTGTTCTCCTAAGGCAGTGGTCGGCAAATTGCGGCTCGCAAGCCACATGTGGCTCTTTGGCCCCTTGAGTGTGGCCAGGAAGTTTCAATCACACTGTACATGCGGGCCCGCACGTGGTATTTTGTGGAAGAGCCACACTCAAGGGGCCGCAGTTTGCCGACCACTGTCCTAAGGGGCTAAAATTTAGTGGAGGGAAGAAGGAAGCATGAATCCAGAGAGGGCAAGGCCGAGGCCAGGCGATCAGGGAGAGTAGGGGAGGGTGTGTCTGCCTTCCGGGTCCGTCAGCCCAGTTTCTCTGGATCGACAGTAGGGAAAAGCCTGGCTTACCGGGGATTCCTGGCGCCAGCGTGGCTCCTGCAGCCCAGGAAGGGGCAGCCTGCAGACTCTTCCCCTGGATGTGAGGGTCAGGGGCAGGGACCACCAGCTGGGTGTCTGGCACCAAACAGGCAGGCAAGGATGGTTGGAAAAGTGAATTCCTATGTTAACAATGTCTCACTAGATGTAACAATATCACCCCAAATGCAGTCAATCTGTGTCTGCAAGTCTAGTCTTCGTTCCCAACATGCATAATGCAAATTCTGTGGTGTCAGTCGCCTGAAATTATGTCCATGTTTTACTGCTTTAAGGCCGATAAGGAGGTCATACACTCCTGTCCACGAAGATAGTATACAGGTGACCACGAGGAGGCTGGGCCTTTGTTTAGGACAAAGACCTTGCGGAGAAGTTGCTCATTATGGACCTCACTAATGGCGATGCTGCCTAAGCAGCTAAAGGGATACTATCTGCAAGTGCTTTAATAAACACCCACATCCTTCTCCTTTTCCAGTGGCTGTGGATCAAATTTTATTTTTATTTTATTGATGTCAGAGAGGAAGGGAGAGGGAGGGAGAGAAACATCAACGACAAGAGAGAATCATTGACCGGCTGCCTCCAGCACGCCCTCCACTGGGGATCGAGCCCGAAACCCAGGCATATGCCCTGACCGGGAATTGAACCGGGACCTCCTGGTTGATGTTCAACCGAGGGCCATGCCGGCCGGCCGGCTGAGGGTCAAATTTTAAATATCAACTAACAGTATAACCCAAAGGAACCTTGTTGCTAGTCAATTACCCTGGTTTTACAGTGACTTCATGCTGATTTGTATACGGATTCAACACTAAGAACTTATAAAATCTAATAAGTAATGGTGAGATGATAGATTCTGAAATCCTAGACATCGCCATAGTATGAAATACATGTTTTATGTCTTAGTACTGAATTTTAAAACACAGAAAAATGTTGCTCATAAACGTTTTTAATCATGTTTATTTGGTTTACTTTTTAAATATATAAATTCTGAAAATATATCATGACTGTCCAGTAATGACTTTGTGCGCCCTCCAGCCAGCACCATAGTGGCACCCTGGCTGTGGGGAGGGGGATGGGGAGGTGGGTTCTGAGACAGACTCTGAGTCCAGTTACAATCATTCGTCATGAGTTCATTTGTCTACCGCTGACATCTTTCCTCGTGTTTAAATTGTTCTTCCGTTTCCCCCTAGAGGCGGTCCCTCTCTCTAGCTCCAGTGTCAGACCTCACCCTAAACTCTCCTGAGCTCTGGAGAAGGAAAATCAGATTGTGGCCCAAGGTCAGGCGACCACTTCACCAACGTGAGTGATTTACTCGCTGGCTGCCCAAAAGCATTCTTTGTTTCTCTTCCAAGATGATGATGATTCTTCGTATATTTCCTAAGAGACAGAAGCATGACAGGCATTCAACACAAAGCATCTGAATACACGCAGACAGATTTGAGCAGCGAGGGCGATGGACATCACACCTACTGAAATCTGCTCCTCTCTCCACATCCTGGGACGTTTATATCGGCACCGCGAGCAGAGAAAGGAACGAACACGTCCCCTCCACGTAAGGACGCCCACCCAGAGGGGAGCAGCGGACAGAAGCCATACCAGGGGGGACGACGGGGCAGAATAAGGGCTGAACTCCCTGGGGCCCAGCACAGGGACAGCTGGGCAGGCAGAAGAGGGCAGGGTCTTCCGTTCTAAGCATTTTCCTTTCCAAACACACCGGCTGCTCCCACAGCTCTAACTGCGCTGGTCCCCAGGCAGCGGGGCTCAGCCTGTGACATGGTGACCCTGCAGAAGCTCTGCACAGGTGACAGCTGCTCTGGGCGCAGGTGGCGCCTGCCTGCCCACCTGTGCCTGCGCCACAGACGACCTCGAAGCACAGGCCGCGACTAGGACCGGACTAGCGTTTCCACACGTTCAGGAAGGACAGGCCACCTTCCCTTCTCACTCTCTAGCCAGCTCCTCTGCCGGCGGAACAGAAACCCACACTCGCTTGTCCTCTGGACACCTGGACCCTTCCCCACCGCCCAGGGCCTTCTTTGGAGGCCACCCGCTCACCTGCAGTCGTGGGCTGTCCCCTCCCCCTGCCCCAGGCTCATGACTCACGTGGGGTGCCCTCACCGTGGGGTGCCCTCACCGTGGGGTGCCCTCACCGTGGGGTGCTCTCACCGTGGGGTCTCTCACTGTGGGGGTGCTCTCACCATGGGGTGCCCTCCACTCCCTTCTCAGGCGCCTCCCCGCTCTATGGACACTGTGGCCTGGTTCAGAGCAAACACCCAGACATCTGAGCTGCACTAAGCCAGGGTCCCTTCACACTCACGACTCTCACCCCAGTTTCCCCTTTAACAAGGGGCTTCGGTTTCCATTCTGAAAGCCTGGTGGCTACATCCCTCAGGCGGGTCAGGTCCAGCCGTCATGGACACTGAGGGGCCCCCGCCCTGGTCCCCGGCCCTGGCTGCTGTCCCCCCCGGCCCCCAGCGGCTCGCACTCTGCTACAGCCCCGCCTGGGTGCTGGCCGCCGAGAGCACAGACAGCCCCTGCCGCTGCCGCTAGTGGGGGGAGAGGCTCTATGACCAGAGACCCATTTGCCCTCACTGCGGGGCTGGGCACAGAGAGCCCGTACGTCTCCCACTGACATGGTTACATCCACTCACCGGGCATTTTCTCCACCCTTTTTTCTTTTTCTAAAAGGATGGAGCCCTGGGGGGTCTAGTGCCTTGAAGAATTTCTGTGCTGGCAATTGCCCGAGTAGCCGCACACCATTCCCGCTCTGGACAGGAGACCCCCTTGTTCAGGGAACCCTAACCTGAGGGCTCCGGCAGCCTGGGAATCCCAACTCCTACACTGCGGAGGCCAGCTCCGTGCCGTGCATTCTGGGGGCGTATATTTTTCATGGTTAACAAACCTTGGAAAAAAGATCCTAGATAATAAAAGCATAATATGCTAATTAGACCGGGCGTCCTTCCAGACGACCTTCCGGAAGAAGCCGGGGCTGCAAGGGCTGAGGCAGAGGCGGCTGCTGCGGCGGGCGGGGGTCGAGCCCCTTGCAGGAATTTCGTGCATCGGGCCTCTAGTTTTACATAAACACCCTGCTTCTCAGATTCAGAAAACAGGAGTCAGCAAGTCGGGGGAGACGCATGTGCACAAACTCTGCATGTGCTCTCGTGCTCAAAAATCCCTGAGGAAAACCCGGCCAAGGCAGAGGCGGGAGCTTCCTCCAGGTACCTTCTTCCACACGGGCACCTTGGCCTTCAGAGCATCGATGGCGTAGCTCACGGCTCCGAGGGACGCAGCCCTGTGGGCCGAAGACACGGCGATGACAACGCTCGCTTCGGACACGGGGACCAGGCTGCAACGGAACGGAGGGCACGTTACGCCTTCTCTGAACCTACTGCTCAAGGGTTCACGACCCCTGAAGAGAAATCCCAGAGAAGCTCCCAGAACTAACACCCCCTTCCTCCTATGTGGCCTCCAGGTCAACCAACGCCTGAGCCAAACCAACAGGCACAGCGCCCGGCGGCGCCGGAGAAACGTCACCAGCTGGCGAAGCAACAGAGAACTTAAATGTCAAACAGCAACACACAGCGGACAGGACCTCTAGCGCTGTAATCACAGGACAGCCACCTCGCTGCGCCTGACGATCCAGTCTCCACTGCTGGGCGCTTTGCAAAGCCTGGAACCCACTCTTAGGGACACAAAAGGCAAACCAATCTAATGTCCTCCCAGGGCATGTACTTTAAAGTCTCTTTTCTTCATATAAACAGAGTCCAGACTAGAAGACAATTCCCTAACGGCCTCTGGGACTTTCCCCCGATCAGCACAAGCCCTGCGGCCTGGGCTCAAGGGTCTTGCCCACCTGGGCCCTGGCACAGCAGCTGGCACTGCAAACGTTACAACGGAACAAGCAGCCTTAACCTCCACCGTCTGCCAGGAAACACGCTAACTCCTCTCCCCGGAGCCAGGACCTGACACCGCAGGGCCCGCGCCCGCACGGAGGGGAGCTGGCAGGGCATGAGGGCGTCATACCCGAGTCTGTGGAACACCGCGATGTGCCTGACCGGCCACTTCCGCCTCATGTCACCACAGATCCTCCGGACTTCGTTTTCCGCCATCGGTATGTATGCTTCGTACTCTAAGCTAATGACTTTTTTCCCTTCAAAGTGATTCCTCGTGGTCCCTAAGAAGAAGAAAAAAAGGCGATTAGAATAAGGTTTCTCCTTATAGTAGAAATGGCACAGTAAAAAAGATTCTAATTTTTTAATATATTTTGATTGATTTTTTTTTTTTAGGGAGGAAGGGAGAGGGAGAGAAAGAGAAAAATCGATGAGAGTGAAACATCGCTTGGCTGCCTCCCGCACGCCCCCTACTGGGGATCGAGCCGGCAACCCGGGCGTGTGCCCTGACCTGAACTGAACCGGCGACCCTTTGGTGCACGGATGACAGCCAACCACCTGAGCCACGCCGGCCAGGGCAAGAACAGGGTTATTTTGGAATAGACAAGTAGCACACAGATCTGTCTGAAGATTACGTTGCAATATTCTAAAAATGAACATGACAAGAAAAACAAAAGATAACCATCACAAAGGTAAGAAGGTAAGACGCGCTGACCGGGCAGGCGGATGGAGACTCTCGCGTGACAAAGCAGCAGAGTTCTTTCCCGGTGGCATTTGCCACTTAGAGAATGCCTGGCACAGCAGCTGGGCATCACGTTCCCGGTTATCATGAAGGTACCACCACCACCCATTTCCCCTGGATGTTTGGAAAACACAGAATTCTCTCTGCTAAGGACGTCTGTCCTGCTCTCAGTAGGCCTTTAACATGTTCGTTTGAAGATTACTCTCACGACGCAAAGCTGGAAACTTCGACCCCCACCCGGTCACCGTGGCTCAGTGTCTTAACATCCCGCCCCAACACTGGACACGGGACACCCGTGCCTTTACGGCCTCGTACCGGCAAGGGAGCTGGGGACACACACTCACCCACAAACAGGGACACCGCACCCCAGAGCGGGGACGTCACCAGCTGCGAGACTTCCTCCACGGACAGCTTCTCGGCGGTGAACCTGATGATATCTTTAGGTTTCTCTTCATCTTCACCCACATCTTCCCTAGAAACGAGGTATTAACAGACCTTAACGGTGGTGCCAGCGATCCACCAGTTACAGGCTGCACGTCCAGTCATGCTTTTCTACATCAGAGGTGCTAGGAGGCATGATCTGAATGATACATTAAGTGTGAAATTAAAAAAACAACCACCACAGTGTCTATCCCTAATGAGTCGAGCATGATATAAAAAGGAGTTTACCATGAACATGACCACTAGCAGTGGTTCTCAACCTTCCTAACGCCGCGGCCCTTTAATACAGTCCCCCATGTTGTGGTGACCCCCAACCATAAAATTATTTTCGTTGCTACTTCATAACTGTCATGTTGCTACTGTTATGAATCATCATGTAAATATCTGATATGCAGGATGTATTTTCATTGTTCGCGACCCACAGGTTGAGAACCGCTGAGTCTTAAAGCATAAACTATCCCTGACGCCCACTTCGCCCCCTTCGGAATTGCTCCTCTGAGGGCTCTCCGTCCCGGGACGGTCCAGATCTCGACAGGTCAGCCTCACGCACATCACTCTCCCCACTGTCACCAAACCACGCCCGGAACCGCCCTTTCCTTTAGCCACAGAGGCTCCGGGGAGAGAAATGGTGACGCACAGGGACGGGTTCATTTCACTGCAGGCACGACCCGCAAAGGCGCCAAGGAAATAAAAGGGGGAAGTGCCCGCCTATGCACAGCACTGGGGTCCTCGCCGTGCACTGCCCAGCCATCCAGCAGCATCTGGGGCCCGCTCCCTGCGCGGGGACTCACCCACGCACTAGACACGGGCCAGGGAGCAGGGGCTGGGGCGGGCCAGGCAGGTGGAACCTTGCAGGCCCCGAGGAGTGTGGATAAAATCCTACATCCTGGGGGGTTCACCCGCACAGAAGAGGAGAGGAAGAAGACCCGGAGGAGCGAGGGAGTCACTCAAGGTGATTCCAACCAAGGAGCCTTCCTGAGCCAGTGTTCTCGCCCCGTCCCCTCCGCCCCTGAAGAGAAATGAGCAGCCATCCTAGACCACTGATCCAGGAC